GTCGCCAACCTGACTCGCCGGCAGCGTACCCGTCGAAAGATGCATGTTCTTCGCTTGCGCGGCTTGCTAAAACAGAGACATTGGGTGAGGTCAGCTGAGCTGCACTCATACCAAATCAAGAGGACTCACCACGGTATACCATATATGCTGCAAAGGACGAGCCATCGTTTTTGGCCACAGTCTCGCTGACGCCAGATGCATTCGAGGACCTATTAACACAATTCAAGCGTTCGTATGTTGTGCTGTCGCACCCATTCCGTGGTGGACGTCCTCCGCGTATTCCCCACAAGCACGCTGTTCTGGCCATGGTTCTGCACTTTTACACCGCTGCTCTGGAATCAAAGACACTACAGGAGCTCTTCGGCCTGTCAGCCACAACCTTCTCCAGAGTCCTGCACAGAGCTGAAGAAGCTCTTACTGTTGTGTTGAAGGCGATGAAGGATGCGCGTATCCAGTGGCCATCCAAGAAGACCCAGTCATTGTGGGCAAGCAAGACGCAAGAGAGGGAGCCGCTTGTGACGGGCGTGTTTGTGGATGGGAAGAACTTTCGCGTCCAGGTCCCTACCAACGCTGATCTACAAAATGCGCAGTACAACGGTTTGTGCGCTTGTCACTTTACTGTTTAAACACGTATATAGGCTGGCTGCATTCTGTGTTCGTGTCTGGTGCTCTATGTTTCGGGCTGAACGGTACTTTGATTTGGGGACGTCACAATTGCCCTGGCTCGTGGAACGATGGAGAAATGAGTCGTCGCCTTCAAGAAATATTGGCCGACAAAAACAATGTCGGAAGTGGCATGAAACTTGCGTCTGACTCGGCATTTCCTGTCAGTGGTCGGGGCGCGGGAAAGATTGTTACCCCCCTGAAAGAAGGTGGCATTGATAGGTATCCTCAGGAGTGTCGTCTGGGTCTACAGACTATGAGTGATTGCATAACTTCTCTACGTCAGGCAGCAGAGTGGGGTATGGGTGCAGTACCAAAAGTGTACCGACAGCTATTGTTGCCGTTGCCATACAACCCCATGCGTTGCTGCTGCTCAACACGCCATTGCTGTTCCCGTTCCAGACGACGCTCCTCGCGTGCCGCTGTGTTTCTTTCAACCATGAGAAAAACAGACATAATGTCACCTGCTGCTTTGCTGTCCGCGTCTGCAGCGCCGTCGATAAACTTGTCAATTGAACGTCGCTTCTTGGCCACGTACGACTGGATCCCTGTGGTGCTCGCAGGTCGCTTCAACCGCTGGCTCAGAAGAGTCAACTCGCTGGCATTTAGGCCAGTCCGGCTCGCGCTTTCTTCACCTTGTTCCTCGACCCCTTGATCTTCGACGAGCAGGTGATCAACATCGTTTGCTTCACCGTTGTGTCTACATCAGGTAGATCAGACACGACGTTAATGGCACTAAGACAACCATGCCGCTCACCGTTGTGATCTTCCTCGTCGTTCTCGTCTTTCATACTGAGCACCGCCGCCTCGTTGTCGATCTGTCGACTGATGCGCTTCGCACGCACCACGTCACTTGGGCACGTCGGGTCGCCACTGGGCTTGGGGTGATTGCGTAGTTGAGCAAACTTTCGCTTCAAGCCATCAACGTCGCGTCGCGGAAACGGGCTGGTGTTGAACGCTGATTCTACCCGTGTCCAAACATTACGTCCAACAGGGAGGATGTCCTCCACATGGTCAAGCAACAGAGCAACTGACCCTGCGCACCAACCCTTGCCTCGTCCTCTTGACATGCTCACGACTGGTGTGGTAATGAGGCAAGCGCACTCTTACTTTCAAACCAGTCGTGAGCATGATGATGACTGGTGTCCACTGCTCACGAATTGTAAAACTTGATATTGAGTGATAAGGTGTGAATGCGAGCAACCTGGTAGCATTATATTCTACCGTATTTGTCTTACTCCTGCACCATGAAAAATGTCGGATTTAAGATCAGGTTTTTGGTGCAAGACAACGACAAAACCAATTCTGGGATGTCATGGGTGGTGGCACTCTTGGATTGGATAGAAATACAACTAAAGTTTGAAATCCAAACTTCCCGCTCAGTCATTGTTTGGTCACGTCGTGCGAGCTTGTGGATGCCTCGCACTAGCCGCAAAAGACGGCACCTCACCGTCACGAAAAAACTCGACGTGGTGAAACAGCACCTTCGCGACGGCACCAGCGTCTACATGCTCGCTAAAAAGTACGGCGTGCAAGGCAACCAAGTACTCCGCTGGGTCCGCGACCACGAGAAGCTGAAGGCTGCCGTGGCGCGGTCGCCCGATCTCTGTTCCACGCATACTGGCCGTGCAGTTGCCCGCTCTGACGTGGAAGCACAAGTTCTTGAATATATTGAGTATCTACGTGAACACGACGTTGCCATCAGTACGATGATGCTAGTGCTCAAGGCTCGAAACATTGACCCTGATTTTCATGGCGGCAAAATCAAGGCACTCACATCTTGGGTGTACCAGTTCCTGCGCCGAAACAAGCTGAGCATCCGTCGTCCGACGCGCGAAGGGCAGAAGCTGTCTTCCACCTTGGACACGACGCGAAACGACTTTGTGGCCTCGGTGTGCGAACGTTTTTTACCATTTGGTACATTGGAA